GCTTTGAAATGGAGATGAGAACCGCCCCCTAGAGTCGGGAACGACTAGCACATATGTCTTTACCTTCTGAATTAGCTAAAATGGCCACATTGGAAAAATGATACTTAAAAAGAACTATTTAAAACAATGTAACAAAAAGAAAACCTATTATTTATTGCTGGATATTTGGAAACTATATCACTCACAGTTGTATCCCTGGGGTACTTTTTAGGCCAAGGCCCACCTTTGGGGATTTGGGGTTGTCTGTCAAGAGATTGAGCTGGCAGGATAAACAATTGAGCTGGGTTACTTGGTCAGGTAAGCCAGGGCACAGAAATGGGTTCAGTCATATCTAATTTTGATATACCGTAACGAAAAACAAATTATTTTAACCTGATTATTTCCTGCAGATAAAATTATCCTTGTTATCGCATCAATCTTCTGGCAAGGGTTTGAGAGGTTAAGGCAATGCTTAAGGAAGTTAAGGTCAACATGATTCTGTAGCTTGATTAGGTACTTTTTGTTCTAAGCCATGGTTTGTTTCAACACGGTTCATTGAAAAATACCAGAATGGCTTTCTTCATACATAATGTAACACACAACTTTACAAACACAACAGCTGGGCTGGGGTATCATGCAAACAAAATTATTATGTAACATAATGTGTGAATCAAGAAAGCAATTATATAAAGTTTCTTCTAAAACTCTGGGGGGCAAAGAGTGCCTTTCTAGAATTTTAATAGTCAGCTCCTCATTTCTTCTCCAAATACAGGTCATGCACAGCTTGCCAGATAAAGTTCTTTTCTCAGCTCATTCAGATGGAAAAACTAATGTTAACAAGTTCAAATGATAAAAATAGATGTTCATTGAAAACTGGAGAGGAATATTGTTGGTAGGAGCAATTTACTTAAAATGGACCAATTTTTCTCCTTAGGGGTCTTTTTTAAAAAAGGCCAGACAGCTATTTAAGCTCTGCATTTCTTCATTGAATCTAGGTTGCATTAAGTTAGCCCAAATCTATTCATGTCCCATTTGTATTTTATTTAGTCTAAAAACTGATGCTGAGAAACTTTTGGGGCAGCTTAGTTCCTCACCCAAATTGATTATTATAGTTTGAATTTGATAATTCTATAACCCACTGTATACTGTACTTATGTAAAAATCAAAAACCCTGCTCGTTAAAAATATTGTTGCACCAAGTTCTTCCTTCAGATGGGAATAGGCGATAGGGCACTCAAATGCAAAATAAATTAGCTGATGAAAATAACAAAACAAATACTACAGTTCAAGTGATGCTGCATATTATAGTAGAAGTTTTCCAACAGTAATGGGGCTGCATTCTTCCATGATTATGTAATCTACTACTTCACACAAGTTCTATGGCACACATCCAATAAATACAAACGGCTGTGATACTGAAAAGGACAGTTTAAAATCCACCATATTTTGAATCATACTCCTTAGGGCCTGTAACCACAACTGAGGTTATCTTGGGCATTGTTAATTGGGCACTGTTAATTAACTGTGCAGTTTGGCGATAGAAACTTTAGATCAACACCGGTGATTCCACCCCCACCCCCCCAATTATAGGAAGCTGCCTTCCTATAATTTTAAGTTTACCTGTTTGTGATCAGCAAGGATCATGATCTCTTTCCAAATAATATTTTCTTTCTGCAGCTCTGCATCTGAAAATGATTTCTGGTTTAGATACAGGCAAAAAAGTACACTGACATAAACTGATCATTTTTCTGATTTCTCAAATAAAGGTATAAAGGTACATGAGTGAAAGCTGCCAGGAAACCAGTATCCTGGCTTACAGATATTCTTTGAAAAATCCATTGAGATGGCCAATCATGTAGAACCTATTTTTCCAACTTAATTCTCCATGGGAACATTGCCAAGAACACTTGGTAATGTGGAAAACAGCACATCAAAACAAAAAGCTGCAGAAACTGAAAGAGATATATACCAAGAAGGACATTAGATTCAGTGTCTGCATACGACAGCAGCACAGAACTGCACACAAAAACAGGTGAGGTGCTCACTCAGGAAACAGAACAGTGATTGGTACATGCAGGCTGGGAAGCAGCATTAGCTGAAGTCGCAGGCAAGAAAAAGGAAAAAAAAAACACCCATTGGAACACCCATTAGGAACCCTTTCACTCAAGTTTCTGACCCAGTCAGTGGATGGAAACAGTGGTGGCTGCCCTGATCATTACCTTCACTGGAACCTGGATGAAGCAGGCATGTCCTTTCAGGTCGTAATAGACCTCTGGGCAGGGTTGAGTGCCATTGACTATGGTGACCTTCTGGTTTGTCAGTTGGAGCCACAGGTTATTGGGTTGGGGGAGACACATTTGCAAATGAAACCTGAGCAACTTAAGAGAAGCAGCTTATAAAGACTTCAGGATGCTGCTTCAATTCAGATATATCACTTGATATTGCCAAAGCACCGCTCTTCTCTTCTCACAGGAACCTTTGTTGATCATGATGTAGATCAACATTGTAGATAAAAGCTAATTTAGCAGTACTGTAAGATAAAATTGTAACTCCAACGGTCAGTGAAAGCAACTGAATTCAGGCAGCTATGCTGCACTTGAAACTCTTTTAATTGTATTGCTAGGGAAACAGCTATGGGTCCTACTTATGACTAATCTCTACCAACGCAAGGGGAAGTGTCCCAACTGCTTCAACCTTCATGGAAGCAAACTGACCAAATGCATAAGGACAAACGGCACTTGGGGTCATAAGCCTCATGATGAAGGCCATCCCAGAGCATGAATTTTAGCAACTTCCCATTTCTGAATCTGCTGAGAAGTCCAACATTCATCATCCCATGATGAAAAAAGCAAGTCCAACTTCCAATTAGTTCTCGTCACATTTTAACTAAACAGCAGCTAACTAATGAGCAAAAGTGATTTCAGCTGAGAGGCATAATACTGTTTAAAAACAAACAAAATTAAACTAAGAAAACAAAGTTTCAAAGTCATTTTTTTAATCAGTGGAATTTAAAAAAAATAGAGCTGGCTCACTATGCAGTGTTTACAAAGCAAAGGCTTTTTCTTCCTTCTATTTTCTCCAAGAGCTACTAAAATATTGAAATATTTCTGTAAATCAGGACTACTTTAGAAATTATGTAAAGCATCTTCTTTTAGAGCCAAGTAAAAAACATTTCCATTTTTTTAAAAGTTTCATTTGTACTAATGATGCATTTAAAAAATAGACTATTTCTCTGGAGAATTCATTCATATAGGAAATACATTATGAATTTAAGTGGATCTTTTGATAAGCAGCATCAGCCACACAAGAAAGCAGGCAGCAGCTTCATTGTGATTCCAAATTCTGTATCTTTATTACAGCTGAAGATCAGAGGTTTAGCTACCTAAATGAATCAATGGCTTTTTGAGCGGTTTATTTTTGATGCTGAGAATTTTTTTTTAATAAAAATGTTTTGCCTGATAAACATAAATAATACAAGATTAGAGAAAATATGTACTGGTAAAAATATTAATAAACATGCCATGCTAAATCAATAAGACGGAATTACTTTTTTTAAAAGCATCTTCAGATACCACAGGTAGCTACATCAGGCTGACCTCCAAAAAGCTAATTAGGGTGAAAGTACCTGAATGAGAGGCCAAGGGGAAATCGCAAAACTATAGGCTAATCTGAAAATTAAAAAAGAAAAAAACTGCAAGAGCAAAAAGTTTCCACAGTGTTGCCAAGAAACCTACATTGTTATCATTGTATGTAATCACCAGAAGTCAAACACAAATTGAGGCTGTCTTTTCCTTTTATCACAGCAATTTCAAAAGAGAGATTTAATGGAGGATATATGACTTTTGACTATGTTTCCTTAACAGAACTGATTTTTAAGTGACAGCAGCTTTCTAATACACTAATTTGTTGTATCTCTTGTATACTCACAAAATCTTCCAAATGTTCTATTATTTCATTTTGGATGCCAGCACTCAAAAAACATGCCTTATAAAAATTTAAGGCTGAATACATAAATTGGTGAAATGGTATACTAAACTCTCTCTAAATTATTACAGTATCTGATTTCAGAATATCTTTTAAAAGCTTCAATGGAACATTCCAAATTTAAGTTGCCTTCACCTATTAATAGCAATATTGTAGAACATACAGTAAATGAAATAAAATGCCTATTAGTATATGAGATGCAGAAAATGGTTTTAAAGAAGTTGGTACCATTTTCCTCAAAAATTTAACGTATTCATTATAGTGAATTTGACACTACAGTAGCATCAATGGTAACTCATTATTTGTTTACTATTCAAATGGCTGAATTCATGCACATTTAAAATAAAAAACTAACACTCTGCCTGGGTCCAATAAACACAGAGCCACATACTAGCCAACTGTATTTTTCACAAATCTGCACAAATACCTAGTAAGAAAAAAAGAGGTTTTATTCATATAATCCTGCACCAAATGCCCAATTCACCTTTGTGGAATCCCTTCCAAGTTTTTCAAAATACTGCATTCATCCTCCACAGAATGGAGAAAAGGAAGAATGTCTTCCTAATACAACCCACACTGCTGTGCTCTTTGTCACTTCATTTGCATTATGATAAATCTGAACAGCCAAACTGTAAGGCTCCTTAAAAACGAAAAACAGATTCAAGGAAAATAATTCACTCAGTGCAAGAAAAGTAGAGCACAGAGACTGCCAGCATTAAAAAGCAGGACAAGGGGGGGGGGAAGGGAAACGGGTGGCAAGTGAATTTTAAGCGGCTGTCAATCATATTTATTAATACTGCTAAAGATAAAAATATGGTTAAATCCCACAGCACTGGAAAACCCAGTTTAAAATGTATGTTAAAATACATTTTAACTAACTATTCCATGGGATACAGGGAGGAAGCAAGAAGATTATGTTCCATTTCCCATCCTGAAGATTAAGGCAGATGGATTTAGAGACTGAATTCACAAAAAAGCCACTGCATTAGCCACAGCCACAGGAGTGCCCTCCAAGTATGCTTTCTTATAGCTCTCACCGTTCCCAGACAGCAGGACCCACAACCACAGCCATTAACCATCACAGTCACAGGAGTTTTAGTCCACAGCAACAGTTGAGAACGGATACGCGGTCCACATGGTGTTATGCCATGTCTTTAAAAGCACCCTTGAAGAAAACCACCACGGCAAAAACGGAGTATTTTTTTTTTTAATTGCAGTTAATGCAGGCGTTGCAACCACATTTCGCAGCAAATAGATCCGAGAGCCTTTACCAGTTTGACTGGACTGCAGCATTCCTGCCATACTGGAAGGCCAGAGCCCGCTGTCCCAAATTCGGCTGCCAAATCAAAATTGGGGGGAGGGGGGGAAAGAAAGAAAGAAGGAAAGAAAGAAAGAAAGAAAGAAGCAGCAGCAGCTTCCTTTTGTGGCTTATCTAGCAAATACAGCAGCACAGATAAACAAATATTGCCATTAGAAAGTTTTTACACAGGAAGAGCCTGTGAGGATGTGGAGCAAATCCATTTCTCCCTCTCTCTCTCTCCTGTGGTTCTTTTCTTTTCCCCCCTTAAAATACCTCTAAACCTCCTACGAAAGGAGGGGGGGGACTTATTTCTCTCCTCTAGCACAGCTTGGGATTTTTTTTCTTCCATTGAGGGGGGGGAATCACAATGCAGCTGCTGCAGCCCAGATTTCGACCTCTTGCACACCACGCAATGCAACAGCACCACCATCCTTCTTCCCTCTCTCCCTCTAACCCCCCCCATTTTTTTTTTGCTTTTTATGCAGGGAGGGAGGGGGGGGGGAACCGGGTCCGACAAGAAACCCTCCAAAAATGGATGATCTCATGTAACATTGGCAGCGGAGGGGAGGGGGGACGGAGGGAGGGGGGACCCAGGAAAGTGGGGGCTCAGGTGACCTTGCGAGGCAGGCAGGCGAAGAAGGGGTGCAGGGAAG